GTTTGCTGGCGGTGTTGATGTTGGGGTTGGGTATTTTCGGGACTTGTAGTGGTGGTGCTGTAAGACTGTTGGGGTGGTGAGAGGTTGGTCTGTGCTGGTGAGATGGGTGAGGGTCTGAATGGGTGTGGTTGTGTGAGTGAGAGCCGGGTGAGTGATCTGTGAGGTGAGAGGTTGTGTGGCCGGGTAATGGCTCGTAACCGGTAGAGACTCGACATTAGTTGTTGATCGTTTGAAACTCCTTCAATCGCTGAACTTTGACTGACAACAAGTGCGATATCGTCCTCTTCTCACACCGGGGTTAGGGACCATAAGTGAAGCCGTCTAATTGGAAGTTGAGCATTCATGAACGAAGAGGTCATGCCAAGCCCCCCCAATGTTGCTAGCCGTGGTAGCTGCAGGTGAGAGCTCCAATGCAACTTCATGATTGGCTAATATTCTCCGATGGGAAACCAGTAACGGCGCAAATGTTGAACCTCATCCTTGGGCTTTTCAACTTTTCCAACCTCAGCCTTAAACAGCCGACAAAATGAAGGGCTCACCGTGTGTTTTCAGCTCGGCCGCAGCCATCCGAAGCGTATTCCTCAACAATGCAGCCCCCATCGCCGGCCCCGCGCACCTTCAGCGACTTTTATTGCCCTCATTAGCAACACCATCGCGGCAACGTTCCTTTTTCGGGCGAGCAAGCCCAGAAACCGAGAGATTCCCAGTTGGAACATTTCGAAGATCTCCCACCTTGGACAGAAGAGAGCCAAAAGTCACCGATGGCAGGATTCTAAACTACAACATCAGAGGCAATATGGTCGTCATCCGCACCAAAGATGGCACCCTCAGCGAACCCCAAGACAAGATCGAAGTCTTGCGGAATCTAGACTTGAACAAGAGCGCGCTCGAACAGATTGCAGAGCCGCATTCTGGCCGCCCGTTCCCTATTTGCAGGATTATTCTCCAAGGGGACGAGCAAAAGAAGGCGTATAAACAGATGAAGGCGGAGAAGAAGAAGCTGCAGAATGGGGTCAAGATTGTCACAAAGGAGGTTGAGATGAACTGGGCGATGGCGCCGCATGACTTGGCCACGAAGATTAGGAGGCTGAAGGGGTTCTTGGAGAAGGGGTATAGGGTTGAGGTTACGATGATGCATCCCAAGAAGAAGAGCAAGAGGAAGGCGAATGATGAGGAGGCGAAGCAGGTTTTTGGTGAGGTGATTAAAGTGCTGGAGGAGGTGCCTGGGACGACAGAATACAAGTCGAGACAGGGGCAGGTTGGAAAGACGCAGTTGTTGTTTTTGCAGGGGAAGATTCCCAAGGCTCAACCTGCCGCTGCTGGGATGGAGAGCTCGCCAGAGACGGCTGATGAGAGTGCTGGGGAAGAAAAGGAGGCTGAAAGTCAGGAAAGGTCGGATACTGCTGGAAGCTAATCATAGCGGTCGACAGTATGTATAATTTTGGCACAAATGTACAATAGTAGACATGTAAAAACATTTAATGAGGCCATGACCACTCACTTATGATCAAGACAAAGGCCGGATGCATTCAGGCACCATAAAGACGGGAGGGAACGGGCATTTAAGCTCTGAGCTAAGAGAGCAGGGGTTCTGGCTGTTGATTGGAGAGATAACCCGCAGAATGCGGGGCGCGGGGTGCTCTGCCAGGCTCATGTCAATCGCGCAGCCATTTTCCATCGCCTGTGACTCAATCTCACAGGACACAAATTTGTGGTTGACGAAAGCTTAAGGGTGACTGCAATTTGCGCCCAAAACCCAGAGACACAAAAATCAAAGACAGATTCTATCCCCAAAGCCCAATTAAAATTCAGGTTTTTCTCATCTTCCGAAAAGAGAACTCACACGACGTCAGACCCGGCTTCTTCAACTTTTCTACATCGCGGCGCAACCCGCCCCCACCATCGTCAAGTCCCCCGCTTGCATTCATTCACCAAACAACCAAAACCACCCACACGCAAAATGGCCACCGAGAGTAACGGGGCTCCAGCTGGGGCTCCGGCCCCTCAGGACGCAAAGACATCGTCTGCCTCAGCACCCGCCAAAACCCCGGCTGCTGCCCCCGCCGCGGCCGCCAACCCAGAGAAGCTTACCCCAGCGCAACTAAAGGCCAAGGCGAAGGCTGAGAAGGCCGCCAGACGGGCAAAGGTCATTGAGACCAAGGCGGCGGTAGCGGCGGCGACTCCGGCAAAGGAGGCAGGGAAAGGCAAGGGCAAGCAGGACGGGCAACCACCACAGAGCAAGCAACACCGGGGCTCCATGAGCGGGCGGCGGCCGTCCATTGGGGGCCCTCTGATCGAGAAGGAGAAAGATGCTAGGAGCGGAATTCCCGAGTGCTTCAGCCATGTTCCCATGGCGAAGCGGGTGCAGTTGTCGCAGACGCACAAGGACGTGGACCCCGCTGTGTTGGTGGCGGGACAGCAGATGGCCGCTTTTGCTATCAAGGATAGTATCTCTCGTCTTGAGGCGACGTTGTTGGCGTTCAAGAAGGTTTGTCTTTTATGGATAATTTGCTGCTGGAGCCAGCTTGCTGACCGAGATGACAGGTGATTGAATCCTACGAGACTCCCAAGGGGAACTCGTTATCTCGCCATCTTGTGCCGCATGTCCTCAACCCACAAATCGAGTATCTTACCGAGTGCAGACCGATGTGTTTTGCTATGGGCAATGCCATCAGACTGCTCAAGACCAAGATCAACAGTTTTGATATCAACGACCCCGAGGACGAGACAAAGGAGGAGCTTTTGGAGTGGATCGACACCATGATCAACGAGCGCATCAAGCTGGCCGAGTACTTGATCGCGAGGAATGCTGCCCGGTTGATTGAGGAGGGGGAGAAGGTTCTCACATATGGCCGGCACAGGCTGGTCGAGAAGACGCTGTTGAAGGCCAAGGAGATTGGGAAAACGTTTGATGTTACCATCATTGACGACCCGTATGAGCGTGGAGGCCAGACGTTGGCCAAGACTCTTCGTCAGGCGGGGATCAACGTGCTCTACTCGCCAAATCTGGGCGGGTTACGGCCAAAGGTTGCGGGAGCTACGAACGTCATTCTCGGCGGAGAGGCCATCTTTGCTAACGGGTCGCTTAATGCTGCCTCTGGCACAGCGGATGTTGCTATGGCGGGTCAGAATGCCGGTGCCAAGGTTACGGTGCTCTGCGAGACGATCAACTTTGACAGAGAGCGTGTGTCGGTGGACGCGCTCACTTACAATGAGATCGATCCCGAAAGGAATACCGCCGAGTGTTTCCGGCTGCTATACGACAACACCCAAGATAAGTATATCAGCGGTGTTGTAACAGAGTTTGAGAGCGGGGGTGGTAATTCTCCAGCCCAGGCTATCCTGGCGCTCTTGCGGATGCGGGAAGATCCCCAGATTGCTTAGTTGGCACTACCTGGAGGGCAAACTGGAGGGCAGGCGCAAGGGAATCCAGCGGCGTACGAAAAGCATTGACGATAGTGTAGCCTGGTGCATTTGTTCGAGGGTTTGAATGCTGTAGCTTGGGAATAGATGGAAACCACTCATGCGTGGAAGAGTGAATGATATCCAGAGTGGGAACAGAACCAATTTATACGCTGAGCTCACCTCCTAGCTCCCAATCCGTGGCCGCCTCGTTTGTGAACCATTCAAGGTGAAAATGTACTTGTTTTGTTCGCCGTTCCTGCCTCTATCATACTGCCTGTCTGTTCAAACTCCCATCACCCCCTCCTATCCTTCCTTTTTAAGCCTGGATAACCGAAGGGCTGGCAGCAGCAGCCGCAGCCTCCCTCTCTGCCCTCCTCGCTCTCTTCTCCAGAATGGCGTTCTTGCGCTCTTCCAGGAGCTGTGTCTGTCTCTGATCCACACCCTCCAGCCAGTATCCAAAGCTCGCACCGACGGCGCCGAAGACGGGGTAGGCCCAGAGGGTCTTTCTGTGGAAAAATGGGCGCATCTCGATGCCGAGCTGCCAGAAGCGCGTCGCCAGGCCTGGAGGGGAAATCTCATGTTAGTTTGTTGTTGCGTATAGCTGAGAAATTGGGAGCTTGGGATCGGGCCATACCGAAGCCGGTCCAGAAGACGAGTCTAGAGACCATTTTTGGTTGATTTGTGTCGGAGTAATGGTGGGTGAGGAGGTGTGTGAAGGTGAGTGGCTCCCGGCCCGCGACGCTGGTATTCTTGGAGGAGGATGGGATGTGTTGCTGGGTAGCTTGCCCTCAAACCCTGAAGCTTTTCCAATTGACTCTGGCTGCTGCTGCGCACACCCACTGCGGGATCACGACTGACGTTGCTTGCTGCTTGCCAGGTGCCAGCTCGGTCCCACCTGGCAAGCAACTGCAAGGCTGGAAGTGGCTCGTGCTCTCATGGCTTGTGGAATCCCTGTCGTTGCATTCTTTCCCTTGCATTCAACCCCTGCCAACGCCAAGATATCAGGCGCCCCCCCACTAGAATCTTTCTGGCGTGTGTTGAAGGTTCCCCCGTCACTCGCAGCAATTGGACGCGACTGGATTTCTTGAACGTCCCAATCGTTGCATTTGTCAAAAGTTTGTTTGTTGTACAACTAACTGCCTTGTGCTATTGCGTCTTTTTTACTTGTTCATTTGTTCCAGCCAACTCTCGAAAAGCGACTTCTTTTTTCCACCCGACTTTGGAAATGCCCTGAGCAAAAATCTCGGTGCCCATTCAACCGACTGGGTGAACGGTGTCCCCTTCCTTCCTCTCTGTGCTGCGACAACGAAACAGAAAGCGAGCGCGCGTTAAACGATAATCAAACCTACATCGCAATCATGGCGACCGCATCAATGGCCGATGCGCCAGCTCCCACCCCCCCTCCAGCGCCCGCGCCGCCAGTCGTGAGGAAGTTCAAAGCCTCCGATCTCCCCTTGTCACAAGTCAAGCGAGCCACCATCGACAGCCTAGCCCACAGCTTCAAGAAGAAGGGCGGTTATGATGCCGTGCGCAAGGAAGTATGGCAAGAATTCGAAGTACGTACTATCCCTCACAACCTCTCCCACCACCCCTGGGGTGCTCTCCGACTAACCCAGCCTCACAGGGTCAAGAAGCCGAGATCACCAAAGAAATACTTGAAGTCGCTGAACGAGAAATCGAAAAGAACCCCGCCCAGCTACTAACCCTCGAGCGAACCAAAGCCGCCGCTCTTATCGATGGCGCGCTCGATCGATCGGGCGTTTATCAGAGAGCCGAGGAGATGATCAGCAAGCTGATCAACCGGGGCGCTATTGAAACCCAACTTCGCGAGCTCCGTCGTGCTGAGATAGGAGATGAGGAGGCGGAGAAGGAACGGCTCTTGGGCGCAAAGACTGACGAGGAGTATGCCGCCGAGACAGCCGCGCGCCGTGCGCATAATGAGCGTGTCCGGATGGAGCTTCAGGCGATAGAGGAGAACAAGAGGAAGTTGGAGAGGGCGATCAAGGAGAAGGAGGATGCCAAGCGGAGAGAGGAGGAGAGGGCTGCCAGGGAGGCGAGGAGGAAGAAGGAGAAGGAGGAGGATGAGCGGAGGGAAAAGGAGAGGAGGGAAAGGAGGGAGCAGCGGGAGAGGGAGAGGGAGGAGGAGAGGGAACAGAGACGGAAAGAGCGCGAGAGGGAAAGAGAAAGAGAAAGAGAAAGAGAGGAAAGGGATAAGGACCGGGGACGTGATGACAGTCGGGATAGGGACCGACGACGGGATCGGATCCAGGTTGGATATGACAGCTATCGAGGGTCGGGTGATCGGTCCAACCGGGACCGTGACAGGAGTCGGAACCGTGATCGATCCCGTGACAGGGGGAGGGATAGGGACCGAGACAGAGATCGTGATCGAGACCGGTCTAGGAAGCATTCTGCTGAGAGGAAAACCGAAGAGGTCAAGAAGCCGCTTACGAAGGAGGAGCAAGAGCGCCTGGAGCAGGAGGCTCTTGCGGATCTTCTCAGGGAAAGCAAGCGTGTTGCGCCGAAGCAGCCCGAGTTGGAGATCGACCCTGTACTGGTCCCACCGCCTAGAAAGTCAAAGCCGGTTTCGGCCATCGATCCCATTCGGAGAGATTCGCCAAAGGTTGCCGCCGAGGTTAAAAAGCCAGAAGAGCCGGTTGTGAAGGAAGCGGTGGAGACCAAGGCGGCGCCTGCCGTCAAGGAGTCAACAGATGCTAAACCTGCCGAGCCGAGAGCCGAAAAGGAGCGTCGGAGGAGTAGGAGTCCTTCGAGGCCCGCTCGTAGGGAACGAAGCAGGGAGCGGGACGATGACCGTCGACGACCTCGGACCCGGTCACCGCGACCAAGGCATGACGACCGTAGTCGTTCCAGGAGAAGGAGTCGGTCTAGAGTGCGAGATAGGAGAGATGACAGGAGGGACAGAAGTCGTTCACGCAGAAGGGATGAGAGGAGGGATGATCGCCGTGACGACCGGCGTGATGACAGGAGAGACGACCGAAAGGTCGAGGAGACCCCCACCAAGCGAAAGGACGAGGCGGCCATTCCAAAAGAAACACCGGCCAAATCAGAAGCCCGCGAGCGCAGCCGCTCCCGGCCTCGGACAGCCAGAACAGACGACAGGCGGGACCGCAGCCGTTCCCGCCACCGAGATCGCGACAGAACCCGCTCTCCCCGCTCTAGACCCGACCGCCGCGATCGTTCTCGCTCTCGCTTACGTTTCAACCGTCGTGACAGAACCCGTTCCCGTTCTCGTGATCGCCGGGATAGAGACCGCGACAGAGACAGAGATAGACGAGACAGATCGCGCTCTCGCAACCGCAGCCGAGAGCGTGAAAAGAAGGATACTGCCACCGATAAAGACGAAAAAGACGGCAGCAAACTCCACCTCCGAGACCGGTCCCGCTCCCCGGCTTCCATGGTCGCCCGCCCGCCCTCCCGCCTCAACCAGACGGAAAAGGAGGCTTGGAAACAAGCCGAGGTCAAGAAGAGGGAGCAAGAAGCTAAGGCCTATCTTGCGGCGCAGAAGGAGGCGAGGGAGAAGGGGCTGGAGGAGGGGAGGAGGACGGGGGAGAGGAGTCCGGAGGTTGTGAAGAGGCGGGTGGAGAATAGCGATCGGTATCAACCCGGGGAGAGGGATCGGGATAGGGATCGGGATAGGGATAGAGACAGAGACAGGAAGGACAGAGATAGAGAGAGGGACAGGATGGATTACAGGGGGGGGGATAGGTATGATGGTGATCGGGACAGGCCGAGGGATAGGGATCGTGACCGTGACCGTGACAGGAGAAGAGATGATAGCAGGGGTGACAGGAGGAGGAGCAGGTCGCGGAATCGGAGCCGGGAGAGAGACCGGGACAGGGACAGAAGCAGGAACCGCGACAGAGACAGGGACAGAGATCGGGATTTCAGACGGGATAGGGATAGGAGCAGAGACAGAAGTCGGGACAGAGACCGTGATCGCAGCCGACATCGCGAGAGGAGTCGTGATCGGGATAGGGATAGGGACAGGAGCCGGACCCGCAGGGATCGTGACAGGCGACGGAGCAGAAGCCGGGGTTAAAGTCTGCCGGCGAAGCCGCAAGAACTGGTGGTGGGAAAACTGGTTCAGAAAACGAATGCTCGCGGTGATGATCTTTGGGGGAGGCGAGGGATGAGTATAGGCCTGTTTATCTTTCTCTAGGCGGACGGACGGCGAATGGGAAGTGAGGGGGAGGGACTGGATAGAATACCGATATACCCTGTAGAGTAATAGATGTTTTGTATGTACTTGTATTTCTGAGATGTGTGAAACTATGGACATAAATTGAAAGGAACCAAAATGATTCACAGCATCATATATGCCTTTGGCAATGGGATAGAATATGTACAATGAAATCGTGTCAACGCAGTAACGTGAAAAGAACAACGTAAACGCTGATTCTGAAATGTCAAGGCTTGATCCCTTATCCAGCTCCCTGGCTCTTGTACACAAAACAAAAAAACATAAACATAAAAACATAAACGCAAAAAAAGAAAAGAGCCCAGTTTACCCCAATTTTCATACATCATTACAGTATTCAAACCCCTCCCTATTCAAGAGAGATAGAGAGAGAGAGAGAGAGAGAGAGAGAGAGAGAGAGAGAGAAACAAACCCAAAACCGAAAACAACCACCCCATTAATCTAATAAATCACTTATGCCCCCTGCCCAATCTCCTCCACCTCCTTCGACACCGGCCCCGTAGCCGGCCCCCCGCTCCCATAAAGGAACCCAGCCACCAGCACCACCACCGTCACAACAACCAACCCCATGATCAACGCCCTCTTCACAGCAGCAGGTAACCTCCCCGCTCCTTCTTGACTTCCTCCTCCCTCCCCCTGGCTGAGCGGCGAGTAACTCCCCGCCACCCTCTCCCACAAGCTCTTGGCGTACACCCAGACACCGACCGAGATGGCAACCGTCTGCTCCCACCCGAGGGAGTAATACGCCAACCCTGCCGTGGCGATGGCGTAACCCACAAACTGGATCGCCGTGATGTTTGTCTTCCAGATCATGACCGAGATGATGACCAGCAAAATGTTTTTGAGGATGCCCGTCAGGGTCATTACCAGCCCCGAGGTCTTTCCGATCTTTACGTGGTTGTTAGTATCTTTGTGCTGGACAGTTAAGGGGGGATATTGACTTACGAGGAAAACACTCGAAACATTCAACATAAACGCCACCATCGCATTCAGCACCAACAACCCCGCCCCCGCCCTCCCCACATCCCCAAAGTCAAACCTGTTCGCCTCGCTCCCAATAGCCACAATCACATTCATCACCGCGCAGACGGGAGCGTAGTAATACAAGCTCACCAGCGGGTCCATCTTCATGTCCTCCCCGCTCAGCAAAACCTGAATCATGATCAACCTCATAGCCTCAAACACGATCCCCCCAACCTGGAACAGGAAACCAGCCATGGAAAAGTTGATCTCGCCTAGGGAAGCGAGACCGACGCCGGCGACGATGAAGAGGATGTTGAGGAAGCGCTTGAGCGAGGGCTCCTCGACCCCCCAGGCCCAGGCCGTGAGCAGGACCGCGACGGGGGCGGCAGCTTTGAGCATCTGGATGAAGGCGACTGAGAGGTAGAGGTAGACCATGTTGGAGCAGACCAGGCTGGCCGAGTAGAGGAGGCCGATGGGGACGATGGCGCGGAGGTAGATGCGGCCGGTCATTTTGATGTTCTTGCGGCCGTCGAGGAGGTGGGTGGTGCGGGCTAGGATTTGGGTTGCTACGGTTGCGAAGACGAGGTGCCAGCAGGTGAGGATCACGGCTGGATTTGGGGGGTCAATATTCATTCAGTGTGTCAGTGCGGGTTGTACGTACGATATTCTGCGAGTAGGTTAGCATCGTTCACAGTATAGGAAGAGATGTAGAACAGAAATACGTACTGAACCCCCTCCCATCAATCATCCACTTGTTGAACAGAATCGTCAAGTTGGAAAAGAAAATCCACGCTCTATCCCAGTATCAGTCCTCATGTTCCCTCACGACATGCGCCGCCTACTATGACGTCTCTCTGGGGAATGCATACAAGATGTAAAAGATGGGGTGTAATCCTCCCCGCTGAACCGTCGTCGGGCGCGGCTTCTCGGCCTCTGCCGCCTGAGGCTCAGGGTGCAACTGCTGCCTCTCGACATCATCATCGTTGTTGGCCGCGGCCATCGAGTCCGGGGATCCGGGGGTGCTGTATGTCTATTCGGGCGGAATCGGTACCGGGCGCACGCGCGGGCGCAAAAAAGAGATCGGCTTTCGGGTTCCGGGTAGTCGTTAAGGTTTAACCTTTTGCGCAGGGGAAGCGAGAGACAACTTTTGCGATGCGAAGCGCGTTGAACGTAAGGGAGGGTGTAATACTCGTCTGGTCGGCGGCGGTGGTGATTGATAGTGGGGAGGAGGCAGCCAGAAAATAATTTAACGAGTGTTTTCCCAGATTGCTCTCTCCGCGTTGCGCGTTTGCTCTCCTATCGGCGGCAGAGCGGAAAAAGTAAAAAATACTCAACGACCCAGAGATCCCGCGAAAGAGGGAGAGAAGGCAAAAGAGGGAAGAAATGAGGTTGTCGTGTTCGCCAAAAGTGCAAAAGGACCAACAACAAAATAACTGGGGACAGGCACCAACCTACCCACGATGGGGACTTGGGGGGGGGGGGG